AGAAAATCCAATATTATCTAGTGACTAAAATTCTAAACATAACTAATCTACCAACTGAACCACCACCAGTTGGCCAAGAAGGCACAATTACAACATTAGTCAAAGCCAAATTTTTTTATGGTCATAAATATAGATAATCAGGATTGTTGCTCTAAAGTAAGATCATGGTGGAAGAATTGTTATTTTTGATGAACTTCAATTGTTGCATAGGTAAAAATTTTCTTCCAACAAATTGGAGTCTACTAATGCTTTTCACCATTCACCTGATTGTTGTCATATGAGAAAAGCTAAGAAAAGTGTGAAAATGGTGGTTTGAGGCTAAAAGCATCCATTTTGTGCAAAAGCAACAGAGTTTAGGTAGAGATTAACCCCTCCCAAGACTCGGATAGCTGGGACCAGCATGAGGTAGCGATCCTTTAAAATGACAAAGCTAAGAAAACTAAACTAATTAGCTAAAATTTAGAAACTAATTGGTGTTTTGAAAATGAAGCACCTAAATGTTTTCTTCTCTCATAGATTTGATTTTAATAAGAGATGCTAACGACCTTTCTATCAATTGARTACCCAAACCTCARTAATTTCAACCACAGATATGACTTAATTTCTTGAATTTTCAATAAAAAGTTCTATTCATTTCAATAGAACAGATAAAATCTCCACTATGCCAACAGAAATGTAAAAAAAATGATACTAGAATGAGCATATGCTTTGCATGGATGAAAATCTATTAACAATCATAATCAAAAGAAAGGGACATGAATAAGCCTTTTTTTGCATCATAAAACAGATTAAAACTGAAATATATGGAACCATAAAAAATAAACAAGCATTCAAAATCACACACAAGAAAAGGAAAAGAGCAGTAAATGGAACCAGAACTGTACATTAATCCTACCCCAACTACCAATAAAAGAAAAAATGCTTCCCATTTTCATTATTCCAAACTGACAACAATATGTTTTTGCTCAAACAAAAAAAAAGAAAAGAATCCAGATGTTGGTGTATATATAATGCACTTGTACTTGATACAAAAAGAACTTATATCATTGATTTCTCAAGAAATTAATACCATGTCCTATGAAATGCCAAAAGACAACAACAATGGTGTATGATGCATTTTTCTCTTATTTTTTCCCAGTAAACTGGATAAGTATCTCCTATATTTTTGGCCATCCAAAAGCTAACATTTTGCTAACTTTTTCAGGTTGTTGTATGTTTGAAATTGTTGCACAACAACCTACAATTAGAGCTCCTGTGAGACTTTGCTTGGGCTAGATTTCTTAGTTCTCTAAGTTTTATATGCCTTAAGTAAGATTGTTTTAATAGCATCTCAACTAAACAGGATCTGGCTAGATTGATCAACAAGATAAGCATATCCTTCATTTCATCGCTCCCAAATGTGTATTCTGCTTCACTATAAGTTTAATGTCCTCCAAAATCATTCTGGTACCCTTTCAACAAATTGGATTACCAAGATTTCTGGAAACAAAATATCAAAATAAAAAAAGGAAATCAATGAAATAACAATAAGATGAGAAGCAATTTTTTGAATGGGATGAAAGAAAAATAAGATGCTTTAATTATGTGCATCACAGAGGAACGGCAGATCAGTGGAAAGAGGAATAGTAACATTTCTTACCGTTTCAATGGATGAAAAAACAATGAGTAGCGGCGGCAACTAGGCGGAGCAGTGACGACAGCAACTAGGAGGATCAATGGTGCCGTCAACAAAGGGATGACGAAGATGATAAATTGTAGGAGGATAAACTCTTTGGCATTAGTAGCTTGACGGAGCAGCAGTGATGACCTGATCAAGTAGTGGCAGCAACTGAGGGAATCAGCAGTGGTGAAGCTGATTTTTGAGAGAAGTAGAAGAGAGACTCTCGTTTGTGGGGGCAATTTTGAGATTTTAAGTTTTTATCTACTTACCCTCTACTTGGGAAACCAACTTACCCGAGTCTCGCAAGGGGGAAAATCAAACTTTTCGTGGGTCCTACACATATTTGAAATCCGAACACATGTAAATTGGTTAATGGGATTGTGAATCCCATTGACCAGACTTTCCCCCCTTCACTTCATGAAAAACAAACACGCCCTAAGGTTATTTTGGAGACTTATTCGCTTGAGTTCGACACTCTGCTAAAAGAAATTTATCTATACACTTTCTCACCCATTTTTAATGTCTTGGTCGATATTTTGGAGTTGTCTAAATCCTTTTCTGAAGTTCATTTTTTGGTTACCCCTCATGAAGCAAACCGAGTTGCCCATGAAATCTTGAGAAGGCTTTAAAGTGAAACATCTCTCTCCTTTCACACCATTGATGTTACCCATCCTTGGATTAATAGCCCTTTTATTCGTGTAGATTATGTTGTTGTATTTCCTCCTTAAAAGTTGTAATGAAAGTTTTCTTCTTTTCTACCAAGAAAATGGCAAATAGAAAAAAAAAAAAAGAGTTGCTCAAGAGCACACAAGAACTTAATCCTAACTAGCCTTTGATCTATGTCCATGGGTAAGAGAGGAGCATAAATCCAATCAATGGAGTATAGGATTGAACAACCTCACACAAACCCTACCACATATGTTGGACCCATATATGATGGGTCAGGTCCCCCACACTCTTGGATCAGCTTAAGCCCTTTGCATCCACCTTCTTTTTCCAAGGTGTTCCCTAGCGGATAATTTAATAACTTTATGGCTCTTACATCATTTTTTTTTGGAAAAATTTATTCCAATTTTTCTTATCCATCTATATTATATAAAGTGGATACTTGCCTTGGGTTTTGTGTTGATCATAAAAGTTAAAATCCAAATACCATTCATATATGGTTAATACTTACTTGTAGACATGCATAGTGCATTCTCTTACATTATTGTGTGTGTGTAGAAAGGGGGAGGTGTTTGAGATGATTAGGTTTTCCAAGGCATCTCAATGCATCTTAATGCATCTATATCTTCTATATATTAAAATGAAAAGGTACAAGCTAGCACTTTTCAATTTTCAATTTTTTTCTTTAACTTTTGAATTTTCTTTTCTTTGAAAATTCCATGTAAGCATGTAAAGCATGAAATGAAAAATGCCATGTCAACAAGGTTTGGGAACTTGCAACTAGGGGTAAAGTTTTAAGTTTTAATTTTTAGGGATGCTATTTAGGCTTTCTAATTGGGTTAAGTCCAATAAAATCAAAGAATGGTCCAAAGTTTCCCAACTGTATTAGAAATTGCATCAAATCGTATTAAAACCGTTTAGTATGGTTTAGTGTCCATAAAACGGTTTGGTTTTGTTTGGGAATTTCTCAAATCGTAATTTACTGGTTTGGTTTGAGATCTTCTCTAAACTGCACTAAGTTGGACCGTGAACACCCCAACTTGAAATTAATCCACACAATCCCATGAATATCAATTCTTGACTTGAGAGAGAGAGAGAGAGAGGAAAGAGAGCATGTCTCAATACATGTTTTGACTTCCGGTGCCTAGTTTTAGAACTTTGATTCCTTCCCACAGCTAAAGCACTTCAATTAACTCTACAAAGCACCACCAAATTGTTTTGATGATAATAAAATCATTGAAGGTACTAATATGGTTTGGATCTAAGTATGCAAATAATCACATGAATCTCCTATGTTTGAACAAATGAGGATGGAAGAAAAGTGAAAGACTTCTCTCATTCAATCAAGAAGAAAGTCAAGTTCAAAAAGTTTAAGAGTCATATCTATTAAATACTTGATGTAATTAGTAGCAAGATATTCATATTAGGCTCAATATAGACCTACCTTGGTTAACCTTATTTCTTAGAGACCAATGATTAGCTTAGGAATTGTCTTAGCCTTTGGTAACCTAAGGAGTCAACTCCCTAGCCTTGGAAGTTATCTACTTAAGCTTTCTAGGGCTGTTGTAGCAAGTAGTTAACTATTTGTAGTGGCAAACTCTAAAAGAGCCCAAGTAGTCGACTACTTACTACTAATAGTTAACTACTTGAGACAACAAAGCTTGGCAATTTGAGTAGCCGACTACTATAGCTAAGTAGTTGACTACTTTATGCAAGAGAACTTGAGTTCTTTCTTGACTATTAAGGTCCAATAGCTCTTTCCTCTTAAGGTAAGCCTTACAACTTTTTGGAAATCATTTATAAATTTCTCCAATTGAGGGAAGCTCTTGAATCAATCAATTCAAATGGTCATATTGGTCTTGTTTTGAATCATTGGTATAAAATCCTCGAGAATGAGAAAGAACATGATGAACATAAGAGAGATTCAAAAGGTTTAGCAAGATAAATAAGAAGGAAACAAGAGGAAACCAAAAGAGAGATTATTGAGCTTACTATGAGCTGGAAAGAGTGAGAAACCCTTGAGCTTGAATGTATTGAGTGAGAAAAATCGAGATATCAATAAATCTCAAAAAGCCCCATTAAGCCCAACCAATGTCCTAAGAGGAGTTGTCAATGTGCTAAGAGGAGTTGTCTTCTTGACTCAATGCGCTACGGTGACACTGGTTAGCATTATTGGGCTGATTAAGCGACCTAAAAAGCGCAAAGTGACGAGGACTCTTGCTGAACTCCTTACTGTGGAATCTCCTCCTAGTTTAGACAAGTTGTGCTATAGAGAAGGGTAGAGTAACAAAGAGACCCTAGGATTCCACATTTCTTGTTTTCTGTAATTGTTATGGCAGTTTCAAATCTAAAGATTACACTACTACAAGTCTACAACAAGTATATTAACAGTTTGGTTTTGTTTTATTTTGGGTAAATTACAAATACCCCCTATACTATGGGGTTAGTGACAATTAACCTACGGACTTTCATTTGTGACAAAAATCCCCCAAACTTTTACTTTGCAAAAAATACCCCTTGGTCGTTAAACCAGATGATGGAATGTGTTAAATTACCAAACTATCCACATGAACTTTCTGTATTTTCTTTTCCTCGCCCTTTTTCTCTTAAACCCTAATTGACCCAAAAATACTTCCATATTCTCCAAATGAAACCATCTAAAATAAAAGAATCATTTCATTGACATAGGAAAATAAGTTTCTTTAAATTCTTGTTTCATTTCACTGACATGAATGTCTTTCTTCATCTTAAAATTTATAAATTTATTCACTCTTTTCTCTAATAAATTAAGAAAATCCAAACAAAACCTTAAATTTATATCTATTAGAAAGAAATCTCTACATCTCATTTGAATATTGAATCTAGCCAAAAGTCTGCAAGTATTTATTAGAGCAACCAAGAGGACGTATATTTAGAAAACTAATTGAATCATAAATCGTTCAAATAAATAAGAAAATGATACTTTGGAGATTTTAAAAATTTTAAACAACTAAATGAGAATCTTTTTCATAATTAACTAACGGAACTCTAATAGAGGGGGTATCTGTCACAAAGTGGAAGTTCATGAGGGTCCTTTTACAAATGAAAGTTTAGGAAGTAATTGTCACCGACCCCATAGTACAAGTAGGGTATTTTTAATTTACCAAAAACAATTTTTATGTTTGTCTTAAAATCTTTCATTAATCAAATGAAGCAACTTTTTGATTCGGTTTCCATAGAACTTGATTTTACAATCATTGCAAACCCAAGTAGGACATTGAAAATTTTCATTTAAAATAATAAGATTATTAATAAAAACAAATTTAAATTCCATTTAAAATAATAAAAATATTAAATTATTGAAAAGTTAATAAAAATAAGATTATTAATAAAACTCATTTTACTTATAAAATTATTGAAATTAGTAAAAAAGAAATAATTTTTCATAAATGTCAAAATAATAATAAAATTAATAATTAGTAAATTTTAAAGAAAACGTATCCATTTAATTTTCATTAAAAACATTAAGAATAATAAGCTATAATACAAATTTATTAATCAATTATTGGAAAAGGCATAATCTCTTAACCACACCACTTAATTAAAAACTAAATAATATATATTAATAATACCACATAAAATTAATAAAAATAAATTGATAATAATTCTTTTTATTAAGTTAATTATGCTAAAAGTAATAAAAAATAATGAAATATAATACAAATAGTTTAAAATTTTACTTAATTATAATATAATAATCATTAATCATTATTATTGTTAAAAATTAAAATTTTAAACTGATTTAAGTTTGAAATAAGAAATACAATTATTAAAATTAATAAAATTGAGAAAATGGATAAAAATATTTTTTATCAATATAAATTTAAAAGTTAATAAAATTATTTTTAAACTTAATAAAAAGGGCTAAAAATTAATAATTTTTATGTTAATTAAATAAATTAATTAATATATTTAACATTAATCTCCATTAAAAATCATTTTAAAAATTAATACAAAATTATCTAACAATAATAAATTTAATAAACAAATAAATAATATAAAATAATACAAATTTAGTACTTATAAAATTTAGTTTCATTAATTTAAATCCCAATTAAACCAATGTTGCACATTAATAGAAGGATAGTTGGATTTTGATTGGTTCACCGTACTTGGTAAAGGCTCCTTTTGTTTCAATTTTGCTTAACACATGCTCATGACTAGTACTTTTTAAAACAGGATGAAATGTCTCGGTAAATGGACCCTCTTTGTTAGAATCCCCTAAAAAAAGGCATGAAAATGTCCAAAATACCCATGCAATTACTTTTGATCAAAATGTTCAGTTTCCAAATTTTCTCTTCATCATATGAATTCTACCCAAAACCCTTCCAAATTTGCTCTTTATATCAATTTTTTATCATTTCTGAAATTAATTTATTTTTCAAATTTGCTCTTTGTATCAATCACTCAAAGGTAAAGCTACAACTTTAAATTCTCTTTTTTATTTTGTTGTCGTTCATAAATTTTGTATTGTTTTTTCTGTATAATCAGCATCAATAGTAATTTCGTAGGTATTTTAAACATTATCATGCCTCTTTCTAGAGGATTCTAACCGAGTGGGTCTACTTGCAGTTGTATTAGAAAGTTCAGGAAATGTGATTGCAATTACCAAACTTCGATAGAGATTTTAGCAACAGTAAAAACTTCAGGGGAGGTTTAAGCAATTTACCCTTTCAAAAATAGGCTTACCATCAATGCCTTATCCTACTATTAAATTATTAATGCTTAAATGTTAAATCATTTATTACTACTTTCATTCCATCCATATCTTTTTTTTGGTCTACCCCTATATCTTCTGGCCCATTCCACTTGTGACAAATCACTTTATTGCTTTCACTATATAATAGATTTTTGGAAATATCAATTATCACGTGTATTTGACTACGGCCTTTCTTTTGACACGAATAAGATCAAAACTTTGGAGATCGATTTTTCTTCATATAAAACTCAATCTCTGACCTCATCTTATTACCTTTTTTATGTTGAAGTTGATCGCCACTCCTTTGTACTTTGTATGGGCTCTCTAGATTTTTCCTAATAGAGTCCTTCCTGGTAAGTACTTGCTGAACCCAAGCAAGATAAGGCTATTTTGGGGCCAAAAAAAAAAAATCTAATTTTGGATTTATGAAAATTTCTGAAGCTAATATATTATGACATTCTATGAAATGATTCTGACAGCAGTAGATCTGTATATTATAGGAACCTGTTTCTGAAAATCAGGGGAAGTTTCAGCTGGGATTAGAAAAGTACAGGGAAAGTTTGAAGAATGTTCCTTTATTAATCGAGTCAAACCTTAAAATCAAATTGCTCTGATAACAATCCAATTAACAATTTGTTGGGTTATTTTACCCGCTGATTAGCTGCTGGTGGAATTGTGGGTGGCAGAACATTGAGTTTTTGGAGAGAAAACATAGTTTAACTTCAGTGCACTGTAAGCATTATCTACATTCAGTTCCTGCTTGAACCATAACTAAAGTGTGTATTACCTCTTCAATTCATGAATGGAATGGTCACTCATCACTGGCTTCTTTCTTTCCTAGTTCTGGAATGGTTGGTTCCTTCTTATCTTAGTTTTGCACTAATTAGACCTTCAACAGATCCAACCAAGGCCACCATGGTCACAACCAAGCAAACAACACTGAAAGTCCGAAGAACAACCCACTTCTCTGTCCAAGGTTCTATCCTCTTCTGAACAAAGTACATCTCCACAGGGAAATATATAGCCAATGGCCAGAAGTTTAGAGCACCTAGAACTCCCAAGACCTGGTTGAAGTATGGGAAGAGCAGTGCAAGTCCAGTGGTTGATAAAACATATGCAGTTCTAAAGCACAATCTGAGCAGATTCATCCTAAAAGCTGGTAAAAGTGGGATCTTTATGGAGTGAAACTTGTTCACAAACCCATTGTTTGGGAACTTTTCGGACAACCATCTCTCGGTGAATGCAAAAACTGGCTGACTGAATACCTGTGGAAAGAAAAATAGACAAAGGCCACAAAATTATTAAAAGAGTCCAACTATAGTGCAAAAGCTGCACAATAAATAAAAAAAAAAAGTAACCAATCACATTAAAGATGTAACATTATCACTGGTTTACTTTTTTTGCTTCACGGTGACGGTGGTGCAGTTTCTACACCGTAGGTTTTGCCTAAAATTAACCTCGAAACCACTGGTCGTTATGATTGAAACAGAAATTGGCAATACTATTTCTGCTTTTATCAACCGATAACTAGTAGCTAGAAATAGTTACAGTTACTGTCACCAAGTTTTGCTGCTTATTGTAAGGGAGACTACTGTACCTGATATCCTCCAACTAGATGAAGAACGATGCAAGCATTAGCAAAGTCGATAAGCCAGTAAGGCTCATAGAATCCAAATCCTGTTAACATGTTGCCTGGTGTCTGGTTCCCAAAGGCTGCATACCCAAAGCATCCACAGCAAAGGTAGAAGAAGGTGGTAACGAGAACTGCAGCCATTGAGGCCTTCTTCATGGTCTGGTTTTCTGGTGGAGGCGACTTCAGAGTATCCTTCAATCTCGCAAGTAGCAAACTCATCAACTTCTTTATTCATGAACTTTTGTCCTAAAAGTTGAATCTAAGGTTTTAGCATCCTTCAACTATCAAAGGAGAGGTAAAAAAAAAAAAAGGCAGTGATACCTGTATTTCAATAAGAATCAAGGAGTAGGGGTAGGAAAATGCAATGTCTCCAAGTGCTTGAGAGACTTTCCATACTTTGTTAGCCACTGTAGCTGTTGGGGCTCCTCCAATGCTCCCCTTGATCCTTCCATCTCCTACAATCCAAAAATGACTAAGTTAATTGTGGAACCAATGGTTGGAAGCACGCAGTTAAACTGGCCAAACCTACATGTGTGACTGGATTATTATTAAAATGAAAAACCTCCCATTTTATCTACAATGTAGTTAAGAAAGTCTTCTTCCCTATACTTGAATTTCTCTATTAATATTGGCTATTTTGCAGCAGATCCAAAATAATGGCAGGTTGATGCCAAACAGAAACAATACCTATCACTTTAGCAAAGCCAAGAGCTAATCCAATGGAAGAGTAGGAAAAGGACATGATTGCTGCAACAGTGGAGAGCCATGCCATGTTATGGAAATCGGGTATCTGGGAACACATAATTTGAATTGCTCCAAATAGCATCATATAGAAACTATCTCCATATGCACACGAAGCCTTGTGTCCTTCTCTATGGAAGCAATTTGATCTCTGAATTGCTCTGTATTAAGGGGAAAAGGGTTAAAGAAAATAAAATAAAACACAGATTATCTTCAAGTTCAAATTAGATACTCCAAAAATAGAAGCATATAGTACAAAGTTACAGACTGCTTTTGTTATAATGGTGTCCCTTTGTAATTTCCTAGAACACGTTAACCTAAGTGGGTCCAAGGATTCAAGCTCACAAAACATGAATTTACCAAGGGAATATTACCTCATACTGATTGCAGTAGTAATCACATAAGCAATACCAGTGCCATACATGCTCAGATATTGAAGTAACCCACAGACCCATGTCTGATTTTTACCTGAGGTACCAGCAAACCAAATGGAAGAGGCTTAAGATAGGGAAAGAAAACCATCTGAAAGAAAGCATTCCAACTAGAGTGCTGGTTGGAAACAAGAAAAGAAAAAGAGACAAGTTGGTTTTGCTTTGTATTACCCAGATTCACTTTAACAGCATCCATGTAAGTATAATTTCTTCTTCCAGTTACCGAATGAGGAGACCTGTAACAATCTGATAGAAGGAAGGCAGAGACATAGGTGACAAATGCAAAGAAAAGCATGRAAACTGGCCCTGCAATCCATCCCAACTGTGCAACGCTCCATGCCAGAGATAGAACCCCAGATCCAATAACTGAGGTGATTATATGGGCAATACATGTCCAATACGTTCCTGGTCAACAGTTTTGTTGCCCGAGAGCACTAGGATCAGGAGTCAAGACTAAAATTTAAGTAAACAAATAAATGGATGGACTTACCAGTTCTCATCTGACGCCCATCATCGTCACAGCAAGAGCCATTAGCTAGCTCAAGGGAGTGCTCGACTGCCATGCTTAATGCTTTTCCAATTCAAAGCAGATAGTGTAGTTGGATAATTCTCAATATATAAAGGTCCTAGCAGTCTAACCTAACAGTTCCAGCTCCAGAGTCAAAGATATCAGACTAGATATTACGTGGTTCTTTCAAATTTCTGAGTTGTGAAGATGCCGATTGGCCACTGGTTACTTAATTCTGTGGACTTGGGTATCACAAACCAGGATGAGAATTGAGAACCCTTCTCACCGACTTGCCTACTGATCGCCGCTAGCCTGCTTGCGTACTCAAAGCAACAGCCATCACCAAAATACACGAGAAAAAAAGCAAAAAACAAAAGAGCTGCTTCTACTGCAGTTACTATTACTAAGATCAGTCATTTCCAAGTGAAAATGTTAAAGAAGTTGTTCTTCCACTCCATTGAGGTGGCTACTCGAGCTAACTGCTGCTGTTGGGAGATTGAGTTGAATCAAATATGGTTGATTGATGTCAAGTTTTGAGATAGACAGACTTTAATTTAGAGTCAATATCAGTAGACCGCTGAATGTGACATCTCAACAACGATGAAGTTGGGATAGACAAAAAGAAGATTCAGTAATCGGATTTTATATTGTCCAGATTTATGGTTTCTTTGTCTTTCCACAGGGGATATGTCATGTGCCCAAATCAATAGAAAAAAAAATGCCAGATGGGTGTCCATTTTCTTGCGCACACAAAAGTTAGGATTCTGGTTTTTCCTGTCAATACCAAACTATGGCTGGTTTGAACTTTGAAGGCAAACCACGGCTAGTCAACGTTGGGTCACAACTCCCAAAGGGGCCGGAGGCGGGGAGAATAGCAAAGATCTACAAGTAACAAGTTCCGTTGTGAATTTTAGCACAATAAGGCGAAATTCCTTATGGAGTATTAAGGAAAAACAATCTGCAATAAAAGTGAAAAATGAAAAGGAAGAATCTAGGGGTGATAGCATATAAGGGCAACTTTTGGGTTTAATATCAATAAAAGTAATATTTTTAAAAAAATTTCAAAAATAGATTACCTTTTTTAAAATATTAATAAAGGGCAAAAACACTTATCATCATCTTCTTCTTGCCATTTGTTCACCAGCGCCGCCATTTTCTGCCGCTCGCCACCACCGTCCACTGCCACCTGCCGCCGCCTCCGCCTCTGGCAGAAGCGGCGGCGGGCAGCAATGGACGGCAGCGCTGGTGAATAAATGGCAAGAAGAAGATGATAAACAATGTTTTTGCCATTTATTGATATTATTTTTAAAAACTTAATCTATTTTTAAATTTTTTTAAAAAAATGTTACTTTATTGATATTAAACCCCAAAACTTGCCCTTATATGCTATTATCCCAAGAATTTATTCCAATTCCAAATGTTTGGTTTCCTGGAATAAGGGTCTGAAATCTGAATCAGGATAGTCCATTTTAATTCTAACTATTTGATTGGAATGGGAATCCCATTTCCATTCCAGATGAAATGACATTTTTCCATTTAAGGAAATGGCCATTCCTTCCCCTTAGAATGAGAATCAATTCTAACTAATTCTGATTTTGATTCCAATTCCGATCTACATCTGAACCAAACAGGAGAGTGGGATGGACTATTCCGTTTCCAACTCCGAATGAATGGTATCACCCCTTTGTATTCCAACTCCAGTCTCAATACTCTCAGTTCTTAAGTTTTTGAGGCCGAATAAGTGGTATTACCCCTTATATTCAACATGATTTTATGTTCTCTTTAGGCTCAGTTTGGAAGGAAGATGAATACAAAGATGTAGAATGTGAAACCTTGTATTTTGTATGTATTTATAATTTTCCCAAACCGAACCTTTTGCACTCTACATATTTATATTTGCATTGAAAAGAGTATAAATACAAATATGTACAACATAAAACCTTAGGCTCGATTTAGAAAGAATACAAATACAAATGTATACAACACAGATATAAGGTTTAAAAATATAGTATAGAAGGTTTTGCATTGTACATATCAAATTTCATGTTCCAACTTTGTGTTTCCTTTCAATTCTGTTTCTGTTTGACTCGGATTTGATCGATGGAGTTGCAAACAACACTCTTTGACTCACTGTGGTAGAACTTGTTATAGATAGGAAGCTAACAAACCCGGTAGGTGTGGCAAATCTATACTACTATTAAAATTGTGAATGAGAGTGTGGAATAGTCTTACTAAAATACCCCAATTTTTGAATTTGGTCATTCTCTAATTGTAAGAATAAAAATGTAATTTGAACAACAACTTTTCTCCTCATTCAAATTTCTTTTGTTAATTCTTATATTTAGGTATTAACTCTCATTAACATTTATTGAATCCTAGATTCTTGACTAAAATATCCATATTTTTTAATTTGGTCATTGTCTAATTATTGAGGCACAAAATGTAATTTGAATCACTACATTTCTCATCATTCGATTCTCTCTCATTAAGTTTTATATTCAATGTATTAATTCACAGCCTTTCCTTGAATAGTATATTGATTAACCATATTAAAGAAAAACAAGCGACAAAGAATAAATGCTTTTATTGATGAGAGAAATAAAATACAAATTTAAAACCAACCCAAAAATGGAGTTGCTTTTATGTTTACTAGCGAGTTAACAATTCAACCTTCCAGGTCATATGTATCAACCCTTGATGTCATAATTGAACAATAATAAAAATTAAAAAATATGAACATACAAAAGTATAAAAAATACAAATTAAAAAGTAGAAAAAACACAAAAGTATATAAAATACAAAAAAGTAAAAAACACAAAAGTATAAAAAATACAAAAAAGTAAAAAAACACACAAAAGTATAAAAAATACAAAAAAGTAAAAAACACACAAAAGTATAAAAAATACAAAAAAAGTAGAAAATATTTGGACACATCTCTAATATCATATATTCATCATATTAAACAAAAATAAGCATAACAAATAAGAATAATTTTTAAGACAGAAATATAAAATTTTGGAAACATATTATTTACTATCATCATTATCATAAAAAATTGTTATGTACAAAACACATGTATACTTTGTTAGAAGAGGTAAAAAACAAGGCAAGACAACAAACTATATTGGATTATGGATACAGACCTTCATTGCATGTCGTTCGCTCACAAAGGTTGGGTGGACTTTATCCTTTAAATAGTCAATCTTCTGAGCAAAGTACCATTCTGGAGCCCGAGGCTCAATATTAAACTTCTTACAGAATGGAACCCACTTCCTTGCAAACTCAAATGTCTCAAAAAGGGATTCAAAAGTAAGCATTGCAGCATCAACCCCAAGAGAACTCAGGTAGAGAGAATTTGAAATTTTCTCAATTATTTCAAATAGCTAGAAACTTCTATTGTTGCTGCATAAGAACCAACCATGTTTGTCAAGAGAAGTGAATGGTGAAAAGTGAAAGCCATGTAACATATCACCTACATGACAATGAAGTGGTACATGGTCAAATAAGAATAAGAAAATACAAGGGTGTATGAATAGAAGAAGTGATCTACTGCAAAGTTCTAGAGGATAAAGAAACAGGAGCAAACCAAAAAGAAAATGCACTAAACAAAATAAAATGGCAGAACAGCACACTTGACACACTCTAGAACCACATGCTCTCCACCTCCACCACCACCACCCCATCTATTTGCATTTGAGAATTGAGAACTATCTTTAGCAATAATGGAAAGAAAAAAAAAATCTTCAAACCTTGAAAAGGAAAAGTTTTAGCATCGATCCCCCTTTTAAACACATATCTTTTCCCACCCAAAGAGAATGCCTAACCTTTCGAGACCACTGAACAAAGAGATGCCAAACCAGATAGTTCTTTAGAAAAAGCTTGGAAGCAGTATTTCTCAAAACCATTCTAGGCCCCGCTGTTTGGGAAAACTGGAGACCAAAAAGCCACTAGTTCAGTGGTTTATATAAACCATTAGTTGAACTGCTAAAAGAGTGGATCATACTCCTTCTTGGTTTCCTGCCCCATCCAGGTTTTTAAGAAATTGCATGGAAACAAGTGAAAGAACCTGGCTGTTAAAAGAAGGCAGTACCCTACATTGGTCCCAGCTATCCCCAGACTTTTGATAGGTCAACCGGACATGGACCCAAACTTCGCATTTTTTAGCACAAAGTGGCCACTCTCAGACTTGAACCAACGTATCATGCTTGTCATCCTGAGATTTTACCATTACACCTGAGAGAAGGAACCTTAAGGTTCCACAACTCAAATTCTACAAAGTATAATTGTCATCCAAAATACTCTTATAGAGTTGTACTATCCTAAAGTAAGATATAGAAACCACAACAAATCAGCATCTCTAGTGCTTAATACAAAGTGAAGTTCCAGAACAAAACTAAAGGACTCAGAAACAAAGTGCCAGTATTAATCCATTGTCTCATCATCATCTAAGCCTTGTCCCAAACAATATGGGTCAGCTAACAAAAGGAAAAATATAAGAATATGAAGTTCTAGAACAAATGTTGAAGGACTCACAGAAAAGCTACTAGATATTTCCCCAATCAAGGCACCAATTAAAAGTGACAACAAACCTTTGGCCCTCGATATGAACAAGTTGAACAAGACAAAGATATCAACAATATGATAATTAAAAAACTTGACCAGTTACAGAATTTTGTATTGCAAGGAAGACTGAGTACATATTTGATGATGATCATCTATGCTAAAAATTAATTAATTAATTAAAAAAGATGAAGTAGGTGCCCAATAGAAACATCCAATGACTACAGTGAGGAGAAAAGCAAATGACACAAAAATATCATCAAACAAAAAAGGGAAGGGAAAAACAAAATATAGCAATTTCTTACTCCTGTGCTGAAAAACTAGACAATACAAAAAGAAGATGCATTCTGCTTAGAGAATAGGAATGGAATTAATGAACTTCCCAAGTTCTTGAGCAAGAGCAAGATTACTGGGATAATAACATGTCATAATTTTGTCAAGATAGTAAATATACTTCAAGGTACAACAAGGGATTTTACAATAGTGCTTGGATGTACTCCAGGAATGATGATGGATCAGATTTAGAAGTCCTAGTGTCCCCACGTTTGTGTTACCAGTGAACCTCTTAAAATCAAATATAGAACTATGCCAAAACTAACATCCTTTTATTGATAAAGGCCAAAACTAACATCCTAATTAATATTTAAGTGGCTAACAAATTACCCAAAAAATAAAAAAAAAACAAAAGAATGAAAAAAAATAATAATAAGTTAGACCAAAATTGAGTGTAGGAAAATTTGACATGTATTAAAATTTGTTCAGTTTTGCAAATCAAGAAATGTTTACAATAGGTACAAAATGGAATCTAATTAAGACTACACATCTTGAATGTAAGAGAAAATGAATTTCAATAGAACCATATTATGGGTAGATTTTTCTTTGAATTTCTTTTTCCAACTTGGAAAGGAATTTCTCAGTTATTATTGTTCTAAATATACAGAAAATCTATAATAAATGAGTTTTCAATCAGATCACATTAACATTGCAGCAAAATAATTAGACAAATTGAACTTTGGGAAGGGTAACCACCTTTGACTCTTTGTTCATATGCAGCTCGTCACACATCATGAGAGCTACAACCTCTCCATTCAATGGATCTGATGGGTTTGGATACAAAAGAAGTTGTGGAAGGAACACTTCAAACACATTTACCAGATCTGAGAAGAAGCATCAATGTTAACAACTGAGAACAATTGCATTGATCCATAAAATTAAAAAGCAGCAAATTTTCCAATAAAATGCTTCTACAAAGCAATAACAATCCTATATGCATCGCAAAAATAATGGTTAAGACTTTTTACCGAACACGAGGCTCCAGGTCTGGTTGATTACATCCAAACAAACTGATCCTGACTTGAAATTTAAAACCATCAAGATAACCATATAAATGAAGTGGTGAAGCTGAAAAATAAATGCATTTTGTATACCACCCACGGGCAAAACTTAATGAAAACACTAAAAAAAACACATAGTTATCAATGTGCAATAACTCACATTTCATCTACGTTGGGGTGGTAGATCATGCTAACAAAGCCAATTGATGGAGATTTATAAGGATAAGCATTTGGAAGCTCTACTCTGATCCTCCACACACCCCCTTGATAAGGACTTGTTGCAACCCACAAGTAATGTTCTTGAATTCACTGAATAGTATGGGTAATCAAATAATTTAAAGTTGATATAACTACATAGCAATACCAAGAACTTAAGAAATTAATAGTAAAAGCGCCAATTGGCTATAAGAGTTCTAAATTCATATTATAAACTAATAAAGTAATGACAACGAATAACAAGAAAACCAACTTAATAGAACACTTACAGTTGCCTATATTTTATTTCTCTTCATCAGAACAAAAAACAAATGTATAGTTTTGAGCATCTATTGCTGGACAAATGGCTGAACCAAAGAATTAAAATTTAAGAGCCTAAATTAAACTCTAAAACATAAAATAAAATTTCATTCCGAAATTCACAGTAAACAAAGGAAAGGAGTAAAACACAAATATAAATATCAACTACTGTCTTTCTAAACTGATCAAAAGAATTACTATCCCAAACAAAACCAAGAAGCAACCTTCGTTTTGGAACATCCAGTGATGGCCAACATGATCGAAACAAAAAATTCACCACAAAAATAACAGAAACCCAGAAAAGGAAATATACGAAGACGCTTATATATATTATTAGCGACGAAAATAACATAATAAAAGAGGGAAAAGCATCTGGCGTGGAAAATTTACTATCACTGGGTCCATTGAAATCAACATAAAACTCTTGCATGCCATCGTTGATCATCTCTACCTTGTAATCACTCATCATCCTAACAGGAGAAAAATATACAAGAAACAGAGCGAAAATTACCAGCAATACTAAGAGAAAAAAGATAGAAATAAGAAGGGTAGTTGAAAATTTTACAATTTCATCAGATCCATCTCTCGGCGTTTGCTCGGGGAAGACATTTTGTTGTATCAGAAATTTAGAATCTTTCTATGGTGGTTTCAGATGGGTGAGAGGAGAGAAGAGTTCTTTGGCAACATAACTCCTTCGCAATGGTAACCTCTCCTTCGGACAGCAGTGTTGGAGGGCAAAATTGGGCAATCACTTCCCTCGAACGGTCGCCAGAATGGAGACAGCAAAACGGGAAGGCCTCCTTCACAATGGTAGGCTCTCCTTCAGACAATAGCATTGAAGGGCAAAATCGGGCCGGGGAAGACATTTTGTTGTATCAAAAATTCAGAATCTTTCTATGGTGGTCTCAAATGGGTGAGAGGAGAGGAGTTCTTTAGCAACAGAACTCCTTCGCAATGGTAGGCTCTCCTTCGGATAGCAGCGCCGGAGGGCAAAACCAGGCAATCACTTCCTTCGAACGTCACCGCTAAGGAGACAGCAAAATGGAAAGGCCTCCTTCACAATGGTTGGCTCTCCTTCAGACAGTAGCGTTGGAGGGCAAAACCTGGCAAAATGGCGAATGAACGTGACTAAGAAAAACGAACATCACAAAAACTAACATTTAGTGGCGATTTTGCTGGCAATTCTTAAAATCGCCACTAAAACTAACATTTACTGGCACTTAAGCAAACGTCACCATAGAGAACGCCTCTAAATAATAAAATTCTTGTGAATTACATCCTTGATTAACTTGCCTGCTTTGTACTTAGTAGAGGTCTTTGATGTATAAGAGTCCCACCCGCACTCTACTGTTATGGACCCTAAAACAGTATTCATATGATGGGGAGATTCTTTGTATTAATCCAATATTTCTCTTCTGCATTATGGACAATTAATGGCGGTTAAGGTGTCCATTAATATTGGTATATTCAATATGAATACACTTGTAGCAAGCCATTAGTATTGGTATTTGATTCAATAAGGTTTGTATTTGTTACCATTGCAGTTTCTTCATGAAAAGTTTTGGGGTTGCTCAATAGAAATTGATGAGAAAGATGAGTTGTCATGTTACATAAGGGATTCACTTCAACTATCATTGCTCTTTAGAGTTGAAGCATCAAATTTGATGTTTGAAGTATAACAACAATTTGTACCGGTCAACCCAAAATGTTTATGATTGCGTGACATGGCAATTCATATTTTAACACCAATTTCTATTGATCAACCCCAAACTTTTCGTCAAGAAGCGACAATTGTACCAAACACAAAATAAGCCATGTGGCATCACATGTGAGATGATTGTAATGTGTTAAAGACATGGGAGGGTTTTGTCAAGTGTCAGAAAACTTAGGAGTACTTTAAGGAATCTTTCAATTTTTAGTCTATTTCYTAAAACTTAGGGGTGGTTTAAGTATTTTACAATGTTCAAAGAACTAGACTGTGCATAGTACTAAAAAAGGGAGAGGTTCATGGATCAGAGGTTCAACTAAGATAGAATTATGATACTATATATGCTATGGGTCATATAAATACTATATATCATATATTGTCATACTAAAATATGGGCAATGGATGGCAAATTTTTTAATTTTTAAAGCAAATGACTAGAGCTCAAGCATCTTAGCATACATTTTTTTTAAATACATGAGAGTCATTAATTAACATAAAGAAAGTAGTGGATTTGTGGTAATTAACCAATACATAAAAATAAGAGGCCTTGGGTTCAACTCTTATCACATATGTTTTGAAATCCAATTATTTAATGACTCGGACAGTATTGTAAAACCAAAACTGGTTCATTAGTTTTTCGATTAAACCGACCGGTTAGCCAATTTTCACCAGGTTTTTCATAGCGATCTATGGTGGAAGTAGATAGCTTGGGCCGCCCACTACTAGCCACCCTTGGGTTTTTTTTTTTTTTTTTTTTTTTCTTTACTTGTCAATCATTACTTAGGTTTAATCTAACAATTGGCATGGGTTAAAGAGGGTTTTACATGTAAAAGGTTTACTTGTATTGTTTCTCATTTTATTTTATAGTGAAGAACAGTTTTCGTTTTTCTCGTACATAAACAATAAAGCCAAACCATTCTTAGTGGTGCTTGTTTTTATTTGTCTTTTTACTTCGATTTCATTATTTTTGTTACTATTAGATTTTTCTTAATTGCTATATCAAATACTTCGTGGTTTTATTATATAGGTGATTGTTGTGAAGCCCAATAGGAACAAGTTCAGGAACATATGGCTTTCCATAGGAGGACATTGAGATACGAGACCGACCAAGCGGGAAGATAGACGATCTCAATTTATTAAAACTATAGTAAGGAAGTTCCTTGATGAATTCCTTTTTGAACATCAGATCAAACATCTTTCGATGGCCATGGCATTTCTAGGGTCGACATAATCCCTATGCGAACCTTGTATTAAAAAAAATTTTCCTTCTGATGCAACAATTGTTTTGTATTTTGAAAAACAAAATCATTCCTAAGGACAAACACCACCTTAAGCGGTGAATAGTTAAAGCACAATGGAGCTAATAGTTTGATCTAGAATCTCGTCAGCCATGTGAGACCCACAAAATATTCCCAATCAACCATGTAAGAATGTTGCTGCAAACTTCGGGATAAGGAGAACAGTAACACTGCAGCTAGGTGTTAAGACTGAAAGCTGAGGTTTCAGATTGGAGCCTTCATTGCCATCTTTCTTTCCATCAGTGCAATCTTATATTTTATGGTTAAGACTTAAGAGTTTTGTGTATACGTGATTAGGGGTTTCATGCCTGCATTACAATTTTCATGTATACCTGATTATAATTTCTTTATTCATTAATTACACTGTAAACAGTAAACACATCTTATAGGTACATAAGAAACTGTACCTATAAGATGTGTTTCCTCTCTTCCTATCTTCCTCCTATTCATGAATAGAATAAAATGATCAGTAGATTCATTCATTCATTTATTGATCATTTCTTTTCTTTACAAGTTGTAGGGAATATTGACCAAGAGTTTCTCAGCTTAGTTTTGCACTGATAAGACCTTCAACTGATCCAACTAAGGCCACCATGGTTACAAGCAAGCAAATGACACTAAAAGTCCGAAGGACAACCCATTTTCTTGCCCAGGGCTCTATCTTTTTCTGAACGAAGTACATCTCCACAGGGAAATAAATAGCCAATGGCCAAAAGTTCAGAGCACCCAGCACTCCCAATACCTGGTTGAAGTATGGGAAGAGCATTGCAATACCAGTTGTTGACAAAACATAAGCAGTTCTAAAGCACAACCTCAGGAGATTCATTTTAACAGCTGGCAACAATGGGATCTTGATGGAGTAAAATTTGTTCACAAATCCATTGTTTGGGAACTTGTTTTGCAACCATTTTTCCACAAATGCAAACACTGGCTGACTGTATACCTACAAAAGTAGAAGCATAAAAAGCATATACCAATTAATAAAAATATAAAGTAATGAAAATTATCCAATAGGAGAAAAGTGAATGTAATCCATTCAATTCAAGGAAAACAATTTTTGCTTAAACTCAAAGTTAGAAGATGCAAGATTGTTCCTATTGTATTACTAGTACTATATGTACTGTCACTGTTTTTTGCTTCAATTGAAGGAATGAATTATATACCTGATATCCTCCAACTAGATGAAGAACGATGCAAGCATTAGCAAAATCGATAAGCCAGTAAGGCTCATAGAATCCAAATCCTGTCAAGAGGTTCCCTGGTGTCTGGTCCCCAAAGGCTGCATAACCAAAGCATCCACAGCAGAGATAGAAGAAGGTAGTAATGAAGATTGCAGTCATTGAGGCCTTCTTCATGGTCTGGTTTTCTGGTGGTGGCGATTTCAGAGTATCCTTCATTCTCACAAGTATTGCAATTCATCATTTAACTTTTTTATTCATAAAAGTTAATAGACTAAAATTGTACCAAATGCTGAATGTAAGGTTTCTTCTGAACATTTTTTCAATCATCAAAAGCAAAAAGAGTCTCACCTGTATCTCAATTAGAATTATGGAGTATGGGTAAGCAAAAGCAATGTCTCCAAGTGCTTGAGAGACTGTCCATACTTTTTGAGCTGCTGTATCTGTYGAGACTCCCGCAATGCTTCCCTTGATCCTTCCATTCCCTGGAACCCAAAAGCCAGAAGGCGAATACAAAATAATGGTTAAACACCCTGGTTGGACTGGCCAAACTAATGAAAAATAGACTTCTCTCATTCTGCTACGTATTTGTCAAAACCTCTTTCCTGAAATAAATGAAGTAGCAAGAAAGATATGCATGCTATATATCCCCTCCCCCCTGTGTTTGGGATGATATTGGGTATTAGGAAGCATATTTAATTTAAAGTAGCAGAAGACTTCTCATGCATATACATTTCAAAAACCTTTTCACCTTTCTCTGAAGTAGCCCTTTTCCTATAGGCTGGGTTTCTTTTAAACTTTTCTTTAGAGCAGTTTTGATGTAAAATTGACAATTTTTTTTCAGGATGCAGAAATATTTGAGCTATTTCTGTTCCCTTGACATTTACATCAAAAGAAATTAGAACGGATGGAAAACAGAGTTCTCTGTAAAGGGGATGGAAATAATAGCTCAAATATTTCACTACAAAAAAAAAAAAAATTAAGGCTTGGTCTAAAAGAGTACAAATACAAATATGTACAGTGCAAATACAGGATTAATAATACAAAATACAAGGCTTTGCACTCTACATAATTTGTACCTGTACTCCTTACAAGTCTCAGTTTGTAAAGAGTACAAATACAAATATGTACAGTGCAAATACAGGATTAGTAATACAAAATACAAGGCTTTGCACTGTACAAACTGTATTTGCACTCCTTCCAAACTGATCCTGAGGAAATGAACTCTAGCATCACTTATATTCTCAAAATGAAATGCTGGTGTCTGTAGTGAACCAAAAAAAATGGGGAAGAATCCAGAGGAAGAGATAATACCTATTACTTTGGCAAAGCCGAGAGCTAACCCAATGGAAGAGTAAGAGAAGGACATAATTGCTGCAACTATGGAAAGCCATTCCATGTTATGAAAATTGGGTATCTGAGAGCAGACAATTTGAATAGCTCCAAATAGTAACATATAAAAACTATCTCCATATGCACATGAAGCCTGGTGTCCTTCTCTATGGAAGCAGTTTGATCTTTGAATTGCTCTATATTAGTAAAAAAGGAAAAAAAAATTACAGATACAGAATTTCTTCAAGTTGAAGCAAGTTAACAAACCAAAGGCATACAACACTAAATAATAAAGAGAATTAGGTTAGAAAATTGAGTTATGATGAGAGGGTGTCCTATCAAGCCAAGTAGGTCTAGCTATTCAGTTAAGTTCATGGAACATGAGCTTTCCATTTGAAAGTACCTCATACTGGTCGATGTAGTAATTACATAAGCAATACCAGTCCCATACATGCTCAGATATTGAAGCAAACCACAGACCCATGTCTGCTTCTTACCTGAACTACCAGCAAACCAAATCAAGAGGATAACAGAGAAATTAGTCTGACACACAGCCTTCCTAGCCAAATGACTAGTTATTAACAAGAAAAATAAGGGAAAAAAGGAGTTCGTTCAGTTTTTCTGCTACCCAGGTTCACTTTAACTGCATCCATGTAAGTGTAGTTTCTTGTTCCTGTTACTGGGTGGGGAGATCTGTAACTATCTGATAGGAGGAAGGAAGAAACATAAGTGACAATTGCAAAACAAAGCATGGAAATAGGCCCTGCAATCCATCCCAACTGTCCAATGCTCCATGCCAGAGACAGAACCCCGGATCCAATAACTGCAGTTATTATATGGGCAATACATGTCCAATAGGTTCCTGGCAAATATTTTCTTGCCCAGAAGGCACCAAGATCAGATATGAATTACACAATAAGCAATAATCAAGTAAAGCTTAACTAGTATTGGACGGATTTTACCAGTTCTGATCTGACGCCCATCATCATCACAGCAGGAATCTTTAGCTAATTCAAGAGAGCATTGGACTGCCATGCTTTTCCAATTCAATGTAGGCTCTGTGGTTGCCTACCCGTAGATCATGTTCTCAATATAAAGATCCTAAAAGCTAAAGACCTGTAATAATTGAAGTGGCAAAGGGACCTTCTGATATATGGGTTTCCAAAAAGTTATGAAAGAAAGCTAGTTTCATCATACTTGCTTACCTAGAACCAGAACAACGACAACCACACAAAAAGGATAAAAAGGAGACCAAGAAGTCTTCCTTAAGTGAGGCCACCAACTTTGGTAGTTAGTATCAATGATTCTTCTTAGGGTTAAGATGAATCATTGATTCGAAATCATATAAACTCAGGAGCAGATCTTTGATGCATATTCTTCTTAACTAAAATAGGGCTGGGCTAGATAAAGGGTATGGCTGGCTTTCCGCATTTCCGGTCAAGATGAGCATGGAGTCTCTTTCTGGCACAAAGTAGATACCAACAACAAGGCTTGTCTTTTTGCTTGACTCTGTGATCACATTGGTGCTGCTTTTTTGTTATTTCCTTTTCCTTGATTCACTTTTGAGCCCCCAAAAGTTAGATTCCCACAATTGATAATTCTACCTTTTCTTGTCCTTTGGCCATTTCACTGTTCTAGGTCTATGTGTGATGCTAAATAAAAGAGGCCATGGCTGGTGGAGGAAGAAGAAAGACTTTTCTACACCCTCAGGCCTCAGTGGAAATAAGATATTGGATTGCTTAAAGGTTTGGGCTTTAACTGGATCAGATATCTACAGAAAGACTTTTGTCCGCAGCTGCAGAATTGTCTTGAGGAGGCAGACCCACAAGCACAAATCTACCACCCTTATTGCAGAGTGGAATATGGAATCATGGAGCTATACTGACGAACCTGAGAACACTGACTGGTTCAATGAAAGAGCAGACACTTCCCAGATAGCCGTGACAAGCATAGTCATAACTAATAACCTTTCGTGTTTCAGAGGGTAGTTGTCCAACCCTTCTTCAGAACTCAGATAGTTCATGAATGCTAGACTGCTCTCAAATGGTGACCAACTGATGAGTGCCCATTGTGGAAGTGGAACTAGAATGAAGTGAGAAGTCTGAAGACTGAACAGTAGTTTTATGGCGTTCTACTGAAAAATACAATATAATAGTATATATCCAACCCTTTTTCTGAAGTATATTCTGTTTTTTCTTGTCAAATCCGATCAATGATGTTTTGAATTGGTAGAATTTGCGTGGATATCTAGGGGGGTCCAGCCCATTAGCCCATTTTCCTCTGAGACTTGGATAACACTTCAACTTTTGAAGTCCTATTGACATATGGGCCGGGAGTGGACCATCAAAAATTGAAATTTTGAACACCATGATTATTCATTTTGCCAACTTCATGGCAACTAAAACCATCCAGATGATGCACTCGATATAGCCAGACTGAAAATGGAGGCCCCTAATCATGTTTTGGTGTGAAAGGAATTGACAAGACATAATGGTCCGACTAAAAGATGACTGTTGGTGTTAGAGAATAAAAAACTGTTTAGAGATTTTATCTAAGAGCTTGGTTGAATGGTTATTTGAGATGGTATAATGTTTGATCTTCTTTTCTATTATTATAATTAATTAAATTTCAGTACAAGGTATGGGTGGGTATATAGTTATTCGAGTTGAGCTTTTCAAGGCTTGGATCATAAAAAGCTTGGCTCGCTTCAAGTTAAGTTCAAGCCTAATAAAACTTCTACATACATACATACATATAAAAAATAATAAATATAAAAATATTATTCATAGAGAAAATAATATATATAATAATAATAATAACTAATTATTATAATTCTTAATTTTTAAATATTAAATAAAAAATATTTTATATATATATATATATATATATATGTATATATAATTTTTTATTTTTATAAAACATTTGACTCATAGTCGAGTTTGAGCTTACAAGCTTTTGACTCAAGTCGAACTCAAGCTCAAATCTTTAGCTCAAATTGAGCTTGAGCTCGAGCCACATACTTTCTTGGCAAGCTGAGCTCGAATAGCTAGCTATTGGGTCCACTCAGTTCAAATCCACTCCTAAGTTATTAAACTTCATGGATTTTCATGCAAGAGGGCATATTAGAGAATAAAAACCTATTTAGGGACTTTACCTAACAATTTAAGCTTTTAGGTTGAATGGTTTTTTGAGATTTGAAAACCCAAAATTGATGACAAACAAAACAACTATTGCTTTCCTATTGCATCTTTATCTTCTTGTTGGATCACAATTTGATTTTCAGAAAGAGCCATGATGACATAACGAACATTCATTCAGGTTTGTTTTTTCACTCATTGGCTCAAAGATTCTTTTGGTCCCAATAAGAACATCCATGATAACATTATCCATTATCATCTTGTCGAGTTTATTATGAAAATAGGTGAACAAAATTAAACAAAATTTCTTTTTAGTTGTCTGAATTTTCAATTCAATGAGTGATAAACATGGTAGAGTGCTAATGAATTATTCAACTTCAACTAGAGTGCTCTCATTGCATAAGGGGAAATACTGTAGTTTAGTACTATGCAATCTGTAATGATTTTGCTGATGAACCAATGTCTGAATGGTCAGTTGGTGTCCTCCAAGTCACATGATCGAGATCGGCTTCAGCCAGTGCAAGGCCCATAGCCTTTACAGCCTTGCATCGGGAATATCTATGGGACGTTGTGGGGGACTGATTTGATCTCGTAAGAGAGGACCTAGTCTGGAATATGATGAATATTATGCAAGAGAGTTGCCAAGTGTGTCAAAGTTTTTTGCACCTAAGAGGTGGCTAAGTTATTTATCCATCGAGGGACCTTTTAGGAAATTTATTTACTTATCCATTCACAAAATAATACAAGTAAATATACATTTTCAGGTAACACTTAACTTTACTAAATGCATTTACCCAGGTAATTAACTTACTACCAAACTGAACCTTAAGGTATTATAACGCATGTTTCTAGATAAGCAAATTGTGCTACTGATTGGCTAAGCATGATTACCAGATTTCAAGTTATTGGCTCCATGACCGGAGATTAGGTTATATTTACTTTTGTGATGCTTGGGCTTGGCTACCCCTCCTCTCATGGTTTTTAAAATCAAACCAGTCAGGGGTCCGGTTACTGGTTAAAATGGTTTGACCGTTCAATCCGTATGGTCGGCCCGTTCTGACAAAAAAATAAAAAAATTGAAAAACAGTCAAAACCGTTTAAACAGTTTGAACAATTAACCGGCCGGTTCAACGGTTTGCTGACCCAAATCAACGGTTTTGGGGAAAAACAGAACTAATCAGTTCCTGGTTTTTCCGGTCTGACCATCCGGTCTGATCCGGTTTTGAAAACCATGCCTCCTCTTGTTTAACCCCTCTTTATCTAATATATAAAGGGTTTTTTCCAACCCTAGATGAAAATAGGATTTCTAGGGGTGAACTTGAATCCTGCCCATGGATTGATGCTCAATTTACCAGCAAGATGCGGTTTATAATGGGGGATAGTGGGCTGCAATTCAGATTTCCAAGGGGATTGCAATCCAAAAATCCCATATATTACTATAAAAAAAGTTTTTTATGATGAAATGTTTGAGTTATATTTTCATCAGTTTTATGATGACAGATTTATTTTTAATGCTACCATGATGGAAATGCTGTTTCCATCTGAATGTCACTTCAGCCAGGAGTTAGCATCCACAATTTTATTGTAAAATAACTAATAAGTAATGAATATAATGGACAAAAGTAACCTTTTGGTGGGGGATTAGTAACATACCTCATGCTAGTAGCAGATACAATGATATAAGCTATTCCTGTCCCATACAAACTTATTTGCTGAAACAATCCACACAGCCATATTTCCCCTTTTCCTGGATACCGTTGTATGCACTGTGTCATCAACTCACATTCTCATGATCATCACAAATTTTAAGGACAAAGAGATTATTCATTCCAAATTCAAGGTATTCATCTGAATCCAAAGTGATGATAATTTGTCTAATTTTATATATATAACATGGACCTGATCAAGCCCACAAAAAAAAATCTAAATTCAGGCCTAAGCCATTCATAACACGCCAAACATATCTTAATTAATTAAATTCGGATTAGTTGAATGCTTTAACAGCTGCTTAGCAGGTTGTGGAATCAATGACAGTGTCTCACGCTAGTGTTAAAGTATTGCGTTCAGCTAATCCCATCTCTAATTAATCCAAACTTTTATATTTCTTCTTTTCTGTGCTAAAGGCTGTGGCATTAACAATAATGCCCCACTCCAGCAAGTGTAGAGATAGGATTGACGGAATGAAACAGATGTTGGACAGGCTGTGGAATCAATGATAATGCTTCACATCAGTCATAAAATCTATAGGGCTCATAATCATTCAACCTCTCACTGTAGGCCCCATGTATTTTGTCACTGGTGTGGAATGTTATCATTGGTTTCACAGCTTCATTTTCTTTCCAAAACTTTAGACCAAAAGAGAAAAGGCATCGGGTTCACGAGTTGGATCAACTTTTTGCCAACTAGCAATAAGCCATCAAGTCTCTGTTGCATGAGTTACGTAAGGAAGCTAGCTATTAGGGCTGTTGGCCATAAATGAAATGGTTAATTGAGTGCTTGATGTACATAAATAAGTCATATTAGTGGGTTGTTTGAGTCAATTATGTTGTTATGGGCTTAATTAAAGGGTAGTGGGCCATCTAGGTGTTTGTATGTGTGTGAGTATAGTGGGTCATGGTAAGTTGGAACTTGGAAGTTAGCAAGAGTCTTTATATTACTTTGTAATTCTCTCTTAAATAATTATGAAGGTTTCTATCGGAGGTCTCGAGTCTCCCTCGAAGTAGATGAGACTACCTTATATCCTACCGGGATGCAAATGGAAAAAATATTAAAGCTGAGTCTTTATATAAAATGTTTTTCCATTTCTGTTTTCCATCATTCTTTCCAAATGCATAAACCTGTAAAGCTCTTTGTTTACATCAAATGGTTTAGGGCTGTTTTTGGGTTTACCAAAAGTTCATTTTTCCTTTTCCAATAATCATCTAGGGGCCTTTTATGGTTAATTTTCAACTCTTTGCTGAACTACATGAATTTTCCTTTTGATGGGATAATTAAATTTACTATTTGATCAATACTATCATGTTCCAGTCCACAAATGATAGAAGCAATCTTGTGCTTTGGGTTGGTTATCAGTTTTCATTAATACTAGTGTTTTTCGTTGTCTGAAAACACTTGCTCAGATAAATGTACTTACCTTGATAAGTAAAAACTAATCGGGCCTTAGGATCACTTTTGATTCTAAGAATGGAATGAGGAATACATGGAAATGATGGGGATATAGTAGAGTGATTGAATTGCAAATGAGAGAGAGAGAGGGATGCTAATGGCATCATGGAGAGGTATTTAGTTAAAGGGTGATTTGGTAAAAAAATTAAAAATTTCTCCTGCTCACTGTTTATAATTATTTTCTAAACATAAGTGAATTTGTTAATCGGTCAAACTTCTCCTCGAATATATATATATATAGATTTGTGAAGTTAAAATAAATGAGAAATGCATTAGTTCTCAGTTCTCACCCAAATTAAGCCTCACAGCTTCCATGTATGAGCGATTTCTGGTGAGCCCAAATTCAGGGTCAGGAGACCTGTAGCAATCACAGAGAAGGTTTGATGAAACAACGGTGATTCCTGCAAAAATTATCATGGCCACTGGGCCTGCTATCCAACCTAGCTGAGCCATGCTCCATGCAAGAGACAGCACCCCTGAGCCTATAACTGCTGTTATTATATGGGCAGTTGCAGTCCATAAAGTACCTTCACAACAAAATTAAAACAAATGAGACGAAACCCATCAAACCATTCCAAATAATAAAACTAATTATTCGAAACCCAAGATAACCCAGATTAAGAACTGGGCTTTATTAGAAATTCTGAATCTGCAGAAACAGAGAAAAATATCCCCCCAATCTTACCAGGAAATCTATAAATAGCGAATATGAAACAAAATTAGCTTTTTAGTGCAAATTGGCTTGGACTATGGAGATGGAGATGGAGATGATTAAATAACTAAGACAATGAATACTGAATCATTCTTTTTCTCACAACCAAGTAACCAACCTCTGTTTCTATCTCTAATAACTGAATCAGGGGAAGGCGAAGAAGAAACAGGAAGAAAAGGAGTGAAATTGGGCATGATTGAACATTTGAACTGACCAGTTCTCTTCAAGTTGAAGTTCCCATCTGATTCAGTAGATGGTCTGAGCAATGGAACCTGTTGATCTTCTTCTACACCCATGGCCTTTTTTCAAATTCGGTTGACAGAGCAATCTTTTGATGGGAAACCATGGAATGCATTAATGCAATATTCCCGCCTTATTATACTGGAACTCTGGAAGAGCTTTCACCAATCAAAATAACTCCCGAGAATTTTGAAGAATACCAACTGGCAACTGATTGTTCTGTAGGTTGTTGGTATGCTTGGGTTAATCAGTAATAATCAGCGAAACGTTTGTTAGTTGGACTCTTCCCTAGTCACTTACGCCATTGACTGTTTGGTAAAGAGACTATCTAACGGGAAGAATTTGGCTAATTCCTGTCTAGAATAGATCTCCATGTGACACCTGTTCATTTAATTTTGGGTTCGATTATGATACTATTATACAGGAAAAACTTACAACCAATCAGCCGGTTAGGGATGTCAATGGGTCCCGACCCGATGGACCCGAGCTGATTGGGCTGGTTCTTGGAACTGATGGATCGGTTCTGGGTCTTGATATAGTGTCTTCTTGATCAGGGGCGGAGTCATAGGAAGTGGAAATTTACAAAGGAAGTGGAAATTTTCTGAGCCATAGGAGGTACCATGGCTCTGCTGGGTCCCCCTAGCTCCACCCCTGGTCCCCCGATTCAGACCCAACTCAAATATAGTATTAAATAAATTATATATAATATATGTATGATATTTAAAAAGCATTTTTATAAAAGTACTTCTATGAAAGAATTTTTATAAAAACATTTTCATAAAAGTACTTTTATAAAAATGCTTTCACAAAAGTACTATTGTAGAATTCAATTAGGGGTAATTTTGGAAGAAAAATCTGAATAAGTGCTTATTGTATAAACGCTTAAAAAAACTAGAAATTTGGACTGAAAAAATAAACCCTTAAACACTTATTTCAGGTTTATTTCCCAAATACCAATAAATGCTTAATGGCCCAAATAAACACTTATTTTTGCACTCCCAAAACATGGCCTAAGACTTGCCCTTTCAAACATTAGTCAGGGTTATGTCATGGAGTAGTGAAACTGTTAATAATGTTACCAAAGTAATTCATTAACCAGGAAGGGTACAAGGTGGATGACCAAAGTTATAGAGTTTCTCTATGGTCCAGTTCTCCAAAAATTTATTCACTGCATCTCAGAGCGACTTCTCCAACATGGGTGACCAAAAATTACCTTCAATCATTTCTTCACATGAAAATGACCTCTCTCTCACAGTCTCACCAGCATCTCTGCTCAATATGGCACCCCTCAAGGCACCGGGCGCCCATGGACTTCATGCTCTGTTCTGCTAAAACGGGTGGAACTTGATTGGTGACAAGCTATGTTCATTTATGATTTTTATCAAAGGTCTATTTCTCAACCCTGCTCTTATTTCAGTCTGATACCTTGTTAGGGTTTCATTCCAAAGAAAGAAAGGACAGAGATGCCTAGCGATTTCCGTCCTATTGGCGTAGCTAATATCACGGGGCAAAAATTTTGGCAAGCAGATTGAAACCTCTACTTTACGAGATCATTTCTCCGTTGCAAAATGCCCTCATGCCAGGACAATAGATTTTGGACAACATTCTATTGGTCAATGTTCTTTGATCATTGCTTATATATCCCTGGTTTCTCTGAATCTTTATGTTCTTTGATCAATGCCTGTATTGGTCAATGGAGAATGTAGTCTTAACTTTTACACCTCAGAAAGGTTTGAGGCAAGGGTGCCATTTGTCACCCTACCTGTTCATTGTTTATATTAAAACTATTCTCTCTAGGATTTTGTCCAATACTACCCTTATTGTTATACAATCGTCAAACAGGAAAGGTATACTTAGTCAATTATCTAAATTATTAGAGTAGTTTAAGAAATTTGCCCATATTTTTGTCATCCCTAGATGGAGAGACCTCCTACTTGGTCTAATACCTACAATAGGATTACTCTCATAATAGACCATAATACAGGATGAAAAGCTCAAGTAAGCTCTAGATGAAACAATCATTAACAGAATCAAGTGGATCATTCTTCCTAGTTCCTACCACTGAACAACCAGGAGAAGACAAAACTGATTTAGGAAATAGGCATGTAACTCTGGTTACAAGATATTGATAGACGATAGTGAATCATTTACAATGTACTACTTCTATAATGGATTAAGTTCTTAGGGAACTAAGCTTCCCATTCCTTGTATTAAAATGTTTATTTGGAGGTGCATTGTGGATGCTATTCTAGTAGGTCCTAAAATGGCCAGGAGATGTCCTTCAATTGACTAGGGACGCAAACAGATTGGGTCAGATTTGAATTAGGGTATGTCAAAATCCAACTCGATAATGTAAATCTTGAATCCGATCTAATCCAATCCAAAGATCCTATTGGATATCACAAAGGCTAATTCGAATCCGAATCTGATCCGATTTAATTTCTATAAAATTTAACAAATTATTAAAAGGAAAAAAAAAGTGACAGAAACTTAACAAATTTATTTAAGTTTAAAAAGAAAACTTGATTAGCCAATGAGTGAGCATCATGATGTAGTCATATTTTGTACTCGATGAGGAAGTGACACGTGGTCGAGTTGAGGAGGGATGTTTGGATGGGTTGACAGAAACTTAGAGGGTGTAGAGAGATTGGATTCAGTGCTCACAAGACCATGCTCACACTATTCTCACAGCCTTTTACAGTCGTGCATTGGGAATACCTCCATTCTTGTATGTTTTTTTTCATGGAAAAATATTCCCAATGCAAAGCTGCAAGGCACTGTGAGAATGGTGTGAGCACAGGAAACGCCAACCAAAATACAAAAATACAAAAATGCCAGGAAAGGGGTTCACATTTTGTAAAAGTTAGAAAATGGGTTCTTAATGCAGATCAGATTACAGTTGAAATTTTAACACTTTATATTAGATTGGGCAAGGGTTGACCTAGGTGTTCAACGGGTCAGGATGTAGTAGGCATGCTAGGTAAACACAATGAGTGAGCACGTAATAACTGTGTGACACATGTCCCAGTTAATGTGCCTTTCATCCAAATGTTTTTGCTCCGCTAGACAAAAATTGTTCATTATTTTATTATTTTTGTCAAAATAATTAAAAATAAAAACAATGAAAAAGGAAAACCTAAACATGTTGGGAGTTGAGACTCATTTACGTTTTATTTTTTCATTATTTTTTTATTTTTAATTATTTTTGACAAAGATAATAAAATAATGGATAATTTCTGTCTAACGGAGCAAAAAATTTGGATGAAAGGCTCATTAACTGGGACATGTGTCACACAGTTATTACGTGTTCACTCATTGTGCTTACCTAACGTGCCTATACATCTAAACTTGTGTTCAACTTCAACTTTTATATGAACTGGCTTGGATTTTCAATACTTGGGCTGGGGCTTGGCCTATTCCTTTGGTACCCAAGTCCAACCTGATTCCAATCCAATCTTAGCCCTGCTGAACAAGATAGTAATAGATAAAAAGAAAGAAAGATGAATTTAGGGCCGTTTTTAATACATTGGGCTGAGTACACAGATCAACCCCAGCCAAGTCCAGGTATGATCACAACCCAAGTTTGTCAAATTTGAGTTACGGCTAGGGTAGGTTGGGCAATTTGAGCTTATCATCAGGCTTGGTCTGGGCTTGGGCCTTAGGCCCAAGTCATGGTCGGGGTTGATCTTAAACCTGGCCCATCCCATCCAACTTGCACCCCCTAGGTTGGCCCTAGCCTTAATCTGCACCAACTCAGCTTATGTTGCACCTGTACACATTATGATTGTTGATGGTAACAAGATGGTAATGGAGAAACAGTGATTTATGAAAAAAAATTATACCGTCAGAAAGACATGATACCAGAGGGCAGGGATCTGTTACCAACAAAATCCGCCCAACAGTGTCCCAACAGGCCGCTGCAGTCAGAAACATCTCCCGATGACAAGGGAGACGTTTCTAATGTGCAATTGCAGTAGCGTGTTGGGAAATGTTGGGAGCACATTGTTGGTCGAACCATGATTTATATATTTCAGAGTTTTTCCACTCAACTCTATCATACTATATGGGGTAGGGCTTAGGAGTTTTGGCTTTCGACTATGACACTATAAAGACATGATACAGAAAAAGATCTTATAACCAATCAACTGATATCATAATAAAAGTGGTAACCAATCAGATGGTATTCATCAAAATTCACTTGGGGGTTGATCGGTCAGAGGTCAAAACTCTTCCTGGGTTATAACTTTCCAGCATCATATATATTTACACACTTTTTTTATGCTCCATATAGTATTCTAGGCTCAGTTTGGAAGGAGTACACATGTAGAGTGCAAAACCTTATATTTTGTATGTATTTGTACCGTACATATTTGTATTTGTACTCCTTCCAAACTGAACCTTAATATTTTACTTGTTGTACTGTAATATCTAAGTTCCTAAAAAAAAAGTAACGTTACATTTTTGCTGAACTAAATTTTACAGTCTCCCCGTGGACGTAGGGTTTTACCAGATGTCTTCTATTTATCAATATAAGCCTGACAAAAGCAACTTCATCTCCCTCCTAAGAAATGAACTTCACAACAACAAACTTGAAAGAAGAAAACGAATTGCAGACATATACAACAGAATGACAGTAGAAATTGAGCTCCACCTCATGAATCCATGCATCCTTCTTAGACTAATTTTTGTGAATCTTATCAGCTGCAAAAAATGACTCATTGTAAGCTTAAAATAGATTATCTAATGCAAATATATATTTATCTGATATACAGAGAATGCATCTACAATGTAGTAAAGAGTGATGCAGTAAGACCACAGTGTGAAAGTACAATAGAAATGAAAGATGGCTAGGATTGTGAATCATGAAAACAAGTTATTAGATTTTCCAGTGATAAAATGTAAGCTCAAGTAGCTAACATTATCATATCATATAACTAATCATAGAATCAAGTTGATTAGGTATTTTACTGAACAAAGTAGACTGATTGAACCGAATGACAGGAATGTTGAGTGCAGTATAATAAGCATAAAAGCATACTGAAAGTATCCTTGGTTTCTTCAGTGAAAACCAACTATTCGGCATTATTCTATAAACCAAACCAAAAGATTGGTAGCACAAACTGGATAAAGACATAACTTTGAGTCCACTATATTTTCCCATCCATGGTTTGCAATATTGATGACATTTGGTGATGCATCCCCAAAATATCCCCATTTGCTAGGTGGTGATACGAAATCTTCCGGGAATCTTTTTTTCAGATATTCCCAATATTTAGCCAATATGTCGGCAATATTTCAGATTTCATTGATAGATTATATATTTAAAATTTAAAATTTTAGAATATTATTTAAAATTTGTCAATATTTCATTGGAATCGTCATAGTTCTTTTTGTTTAATATTTTCCTAAAAGAACTAACAAGGAATTGGTGACTGGATAATTAGCTTTTTACTTTGATATGATTCACTTACTAAGGTGATTTTTGGTTCTGTGGGCGTTTATTGAAAAAATGTTGCCATCAATGTTTTAAAACGCGGAGGCGTGACACACAAAGCATTCCACTACCTAGAGGTGTGAGGCATAGTTCAGAATGTAAGAGGCGTAAGCCTCCCGAACACAAAGAGGCGTAAGCCTACTTAAGAGGAGGGGAGATGAGGAGGAAGGAGGATCTCATTTTTCTTTATTTTTAATAAAAATCTTTTATATTAAGAAGAATGAAGATGCATATCACAAGTTAAAGGGGGGGGGGGGGTCTTGTCGAAGTGGAGGCGAGCGAGCTGGAGCGGATATTAATATATTTCTTCTAATGATATGGTTTTGAGATTTAAATGTGCAATTATATTTCTTCTAATGATCTCTTGAAGGTTTATTAACTAATTCCATGCTAAAAGCTTTCCTGATTTTCTAGATTTTCCAAATATCTTAGTAAAATTAGCAAAATATCACTGAAACTTCTCAAACTCTACATTTTGAAATGTTCATTGATATATTACGAACCATGTTTCCATCTATCTCAGGTTATGCTATCTTGTTTTAATCCCATTAAAGAGGATGCATCCTAGAGAGGATATTAATATCAAATTATTTATGTACTGTATTGACTTTGCACTCCTAGGCTGCAGAAATGACTCTAGCAAATGAAGATTTGTAATAAACTTAAACCAGTTTAACTTTTCATACAGATACACATGAAAAGAACTTCATCCTAGGTTCCATACATGGTATGGGGCTGTTACCTGTGTAATAAAATTTACTTACCAACTGACTTTGGATCTGCATGTACAAAGAAACTTGCTGCAACTATAAGATAGCAAAGAATGAGCATAAGTCCTTTAAAATAATTAGAAGTTCCCTCCTGCATACAGACAAAAAACACAAACTCATGAACCCAAGCAACCAATAATGTTAGGAAAAAGAAACAAGAAGTGAGTATCTATGGAGATGATTTTTCAAATCAATATGCAAAAATTATTGAAGGGCTTTGTGGATATCCACCTAGACTACAATAACACTATATATTTTCCTCTGCATTTTGGCATTTTGCATAATAACACTCTTCCTAACTGCATTATTAGGTTCCGAAACTTCCCCCAATTCTAATCTAGTTGAATATGAAAAAAAGAGAACTCTTTCCTTTTTCTTTGTTGATTTTCATGCATTTTGACTTATTTTTTTATCAATTACTGTGTTTAAATTTTATTAATAGAAAATAAAGAAAGGGCCCACCATTCAGAAACTTTTAAAATGATGCAAAACAACAGAAAAAGCCAGCAAGCAACATAAGGCTGTAAAAATAGAAAAAAGTAAAAAACAACACTGATTACAGGTTAGTCCCTAAATCTCTTTTTCAAACCGGATGTTCTCATGTTCTCTATTTATACCATATCCTTCTAAAACATCAGCTATTTCATTTTCTGATATAGGAATCCATCTGAATAAGAAATTCAGAGTGGATGCTAGAGCTTCAGGTTCCCTATAAAATCTAAGCGGCCATGGCCCCCACACTCTCTAGAAGCCATACTAACACAATTTGGCAAGTCTCCCTCCATTAGCAAATCATTCCAACCCCTTGTCAAGGCTATTTTTAGACCTTAAAATATAGCTGAAAAATCTGCCTTTAACGAGTTTTGTACATTGTCTGGTCCACTATAACATAATATTATTGTGCTGGAGTCATTGAAAAATTGTTGCCCCTAGGATGCAACAATCAAATCTCAATTTCAAACTACCTCATTCTTGAGCTGCCCATTCTTGTAATATAGGCAGTCTTCTATTGGAATGACTTGCAACCACCTCAACCCTCTCAGAATCCCATCCATGGTTACCTTTTTGAACTCCTCTCATCTTAGCAACCAACTTGCCACCTTTTCCATGGTCAGATCAACAATACCTTCTATATCTTGTTGCTTATTTTCAAAAATTCTAGAGTTTCTTTCATTCCAAATTCCCCATAACATTTCTGCCCTATAGAAATGCCATAGGATCTTTCTCCTCTTTAGGTGTTTATGATAAAAAAAATTGTAAAGAGAAAAGGTCTGAAACATTTTCTGGTGGCATCCAAGAACCAAAAGAAGGCCGTAGAAATGAGTTCATACCTTTATGGTGAAGGGGCAAAAGAGGAATAAGTGATTATTTATTGTGGATGCTTTAGTTGGAAAGGAATACAGCTGCAGACAGCAGCAGTAATGGGCGTTAGATTCAGTGTTCCTATCTTATCTTATCTAGATTCAATGTTCCTATCTTATCTCTTAGCTAGATTGAGTGTTCCTATTAATTAGGCAGTAGCATTATTATTCCCTAGGTCTTTTAGAAAGTTTCTTAATGTTTCTTTTAGAAAGTTTCCTTTTAGAAAGTTTCCTAATGTTTTTAGAAAGTCTCTGAATGTTTTTTAGAAAGTTCTTTTTTAGAAAGTTTCCTTAAGAAGGACTCTTGTAATTCCTATTTAAGAAGCAGATGTTATTTAATAAATCCATCCAAAATTTCAGTCAAGAAAGAGCAAAGGAGAGTTGGTGATCTCTTTAACAAATCACCATAAAGGCGCTAAAGATAGGTTCCTCGAAAAAAGGGAGAAACAAAGGAAAACAAGAAGTTTTCCCCGTTAACCGACCTGTGGCGAGATTCTATTCGCGGGCCCTTAACAATTTGGTATCAGAGCAGGGCGTCATGGGTGACTTTGAGCAATTGAAGACTAGGGTTCATGATCTAGAGCACAAACTCGTGGAAAACAGCAAGGAGGTGCGCAAGATCAAGGACGACGTCCGAGAATTGAGGCGCTTGATGGTGTTATATTTTTCCAGCAAGGAAAAGAGTTCAAAAGGGGCTGCAACCACAGACGGCCGCCGACCAGACATGGCAGAATCGTCCAGCGATCAGCAGGTCGTTGCCCAGGGAACCACGATTGTTCCCAAATACAGCAAGCTGGAATTTCCTTCCTATAATGGAATTGGAGATCCTTTGGGATGGCTGTACAGATGTGGCAGTTCTTCCGCAACCAACGGACAGAGGACAGGGACAAGGTAGGCTTAGCCGCATTCCACATGACAGAGGAGGCGCAGCTCTGGTTTTATATATTGGAGCAGGAGGAACCTGGGCTCAGTTGGACCCAATTCAAATCCTACTGCCTTCTCAGATTCGGGCCCCCATTAACAAGCAATCCATTAGGCGAACTAATCAACCTCAAACAATTTCAGACCCTCCTTACGAGAGCATCTTCTGTACGACCAGACCAACAGGTTGACATGTTCACCGTGGGGTTAGTAGAAACTTTGAGGGTGGAATGTGGAGATGCAAAATCCCCTCAATCTGGTTACTGCTATGAATTTGGCTCGCGCTTTTGAACGCAAATTGCAACTCAACCACGGAAGTATCAGTATAGGGCGGCCTCAAACAACATGGGCAGCCCCGAAACCACTCGGAATGGCTCCATCTTCAGCAGCCAGCCAAGAACAGAAACCACAGACGAGCAACAATTCCAGATCGGCATCCAGAGTGGGAAGCAGCGTTGTTGCACCCCCTATTAAGCTTTGTCCAGGGCTGAGATGGCGGAACGCAAGGCGAGGGGACAGTGTTTTAATTGTGATGAACTTTACTCAGCAGGGCACAAGTGCAAGAGACTTTTCTGCCTCCTGGTGGAACAAGAGGAAGAATGAATCCTCTTCATTGGAACCCGATCCAGGAGGGAAAAATCATTCCACCTATATTGGATTCCTTTGACTGTGTTTCAAGACACCTATCCTGAATTCGAGCTTGAGGACAAGCTCTTAGTCCAGGAAGGGAGTAATATTGTGGATGCTTTAGTTGGAAAGGAATACAGCCGCAAACAACAACAGTAATGGATGTTAGATTCAGTGTTCCTATCTTATCTTATCTAGATTCAGTGTTCCTATCTTATCTCTTAGCTAGATYCAGTGTTCCTATTAATTAGGCAGTAGCATTATTATTTCCTAGGTCTTTTAGAAAGTTTCCTAATGTTTTTCGAAAGTCTCTCTTTAGAAAGTCTCTTAATGCTTTTTAGAAAGTTTCCTTAAGAAGGACTCTTGTAATTCCTATTTAAG